TAATTATAATATATATTAATAGTTGTATTGATAGTTATGAATTAATCATTCTCTCGAGGAAGCACTATTGTACCATACAGCAGTTTTTCCAAATAAGGTTTACGTAACTAGTAACGCAAAGATGGGGGCAGGAAATGCTTTAGCCCCTCAATCTACTCAAAATAAAATACCGGGTTAAGATCTTGGATTGGAAATCCAAGTCTCTGTGAATGTCTGGTAATGACCAATGGCCAGTTATATATAGTGAATAAAGAAATATAAAATGATCGATTTCGACTCTATTTAAGTTAATTAGTTTTCCCAATCTAGATGGGTTCAATCTTGATACAAGTAAATCTTATTTTTCCACCCTTTTTTTTGATATTCTGTAGAAATAAGAGTTTATCATAGATTAGCAGGTATTCATTTGTATATAAGTACTTAGAGAATAACTGAAATAGTTTATGTTGTACAGTTGCGTGAATACTATGTCCTAGTATTCAGTTGACCGATACCTTATTTCGTCTGCTCATCTCATTTAGGCCCTCGACACAGGATACGAAGATATATAGGTATATCCCGAGGGTAAGACTTTTGTAGGTGCTTGGCTATTACCAAAGAATCTAATATGATTTTCTGGTACACATCTTTTCAGCAATATATCATCAGTCACTTTTTGTGCCCACTTCACTGATTGAAATGCACTCATATAATCTGGTATGCTATGCTATACCTAATGTCTGCTCCTTACTGAGTGAATTTCAAAGCCAACATTATTATTTGGAACTATTTGTGTAAATGTTATATTTACCATAAACGCTAGAAGACTGATTTGTGATAATCATCTCGTTTACGTATAGTGTTCAAATAGTCCTATCAGATGACTCATGTAATAGTCGATCTATTGTAGAATATTCTAAATTTTCTTCAGAATCTTTCCGTATCCTAAGTGTATCCTAAGCTTGCATTTTTCGCAACTGAAAAAATAATTTTTTCTATTTGTGCTGAAGTATCGGTCGTACCCAAAGATCTGTGGGTTTAAACGACGTTGAGTTTATACAATTAATATATACGATCGAAATGAAAGAGATTTCACTTCATATTCCGAATTATATTAACTTTAGTAAGCGTGAGGCTACCTTCACAAATCTATTGAATTTTTTTTGCAATTTTTAAATTGTAGGGTAAGAGTTCATCCCTTGGTATTTGTAGTCTCAAATATTATTTACGAATAATTAAATACAAGAAATAATTTCAAGACACTGATGATGGATATTTAACAATATTCAAATAGGCTGTATGGTCAGCCAAATATTCAATTAATTAAAATAATATAAAAAGAATTTTTGTTGTTGTTGATTCACTACTTTTCAAAATCTCTCTACCAAATACCATATTTAATTTAATTTAAATAATTTTAATTTTTTACACAACAACAGATTATATTATATTTAATTCGTATGTAATACCAACCCGGCAGATTAAGAAAGCTTTAAGGAAAATATTTTTTAGCAAGTCAAGTCTACAAAATTATCTCTATGTACTAGATTAGATGAACCATTACTCAACAAGTTCAGATAAGAAAAAAGGAGTTGCCTATTTTCTTGTCTCATATACATTTTATGAAGTTAAATTCAAAAGTTGTGCGCGAGATGTTCAAAGTACGCTTGTTCGAAAATTACCTCATAGACGGATAGTTTATCCACCAGCAGATTATCATCGAATAAGAGATCTCTGGATCTCCAGATATATCTTAGGTATATTGCCTAATTTAATGATTAAAAATTATAAGAGATTAATATTTAAAATAAAAAGTGTTAAACAATTTCATGAATAAGAGTAAAAATGTCATGTAAACTCCAATGAGATGAAGTTTCTATAACTTCAAATAAGTGGACTATTTTTTATAAAAAGCTAAAATAAAAAAAGCTTATAGATTAGTTTTGTTTTTCTTTTTATTATTATATAGTAGTCTGTATGATTATCGCTGACGTTTCGAAGTTTGTTTGATTTCTCCTGAAGGCGTAGTATTATTACAAGAGTTGTACTAATACTACGCCCTGAGGAGGAAGAATGGAAGGTTATACATTATTAATTAAATTTTCTTATCCTTCCTCATGATTTGCAGTGCTAATATACTTTTAATATTAAAAATGTTTTTTTAAGAGTTTTTCTATACAAAATATTTTTTATAACACAATTTTTTTTTCAGTTCATAATTTTTTTTTATTTTGCTTAATTAATTTTCATTCATTTTTTTCTGTCTTAGACTGCGGATACGTTTTTTATAATTATTTTAAATTCAGTTCAGCATTGATTAAAGATATGGCTTATAAATTCAACACATTGCATTTTAAATTTCTGAGCTACATAAGCTATATAAAAAAGTTTGAATTTAATGTAATTATAATATGTAGCAGGCCAGTTACAAAGTAAATATCTTACACTATTTCTTGCAAGTCGCTAATGGTATTAGAACCAAAATAATTTTAGAAAATAACCACAGATAAGTTCTAACTCGTCTGTGGTACAATAGTACTTAATTTTCTTCAATAAAAAAGTTTTATTTGATTTTCAAGTTTTCTCGAGTTAATATCTCACATTTATTCATCAATCTCGATTCATGTTACCAGTTAAGGACGTTAAAAACAATAATATTGTTAATATATATGTAATAAAAATTTTGTCCACTAATAGCACATAGTTTATATTTGGAAAAATGTTTAAATCATCATTAAATGTCAAAACCATGCATACAAATAATTTAAAAAAATGTCAGTTCATATTCCATGCCTAATTCCAACGGCTTTTTTTCGCTCTAGATCGACTGGAGTCATTATTGTTGCTACTACCGCCAACTGTGCTTGATGATGAAGTTGGTTTTCCTCCTCCTGGCGGAGGTGGCGGTGGTGCTGGTGCAGCAAAAACTCCACTTTCAGGAACAGTTTGTTCCCAAGTTCTATCACTCGAAGCACGAAATTGCGACATGTACTGAGCACGAAAAGCTTCACGCATAGCAGCATAACGATTCGTAGCAGGTCCAGCAGCGGAAATTGATTTGCTTGTTGATGTATAAGAACTGGTACTTTCAGATGAATATGCTGGGGGTTTGGTATTGGAATTTCCGCCACGTTCTCGATAACCTAACCCAGTACCTCCAACAGTAAGTTTCTTACCTTTACCATGTTTAAATCGTGAACTACGAAACCATGAGCTTTTCATAGCTAATTGCATTAAATCTTCTGGTACTTCCTGATCTGCACCTTCTAAGTTTCGCACTAAATGTCCAGCAAACTCTTTATCTTTTTCAGTAACTAATGTGTAAGCTGTACCTTTCTCTCCAGCACGGCCAGTTCTTCCAATTCGATGTGTATGTGTGTCTATATCTCGTGCAATATCATAATTGACTACATTACGAATGTGTGGTATATCTAGACCACGAGCAGCAACATCAGTTGCTACCAGTATGTCACATTCTTTTTTCTTAAATTGTGTTATTACTTTATTACGATCAGCTTGATCCATGTCACCATGCAATAATAAACAATTTTGCTCTTTCACCAACAAATTATTAGCTACTGTTTCAGCATCAGCTTTTTTAGTGACAAATATCAATATACTGCCTTCGGACAAAAACTTCACTAAATGACAAAGCAGCCAATTCCATTTCTGTAATGGATTGGGAAACACAAAAACATATTGTGTTATGTCCTGATTGGCTTCATTTAAATCCCCCTGCACAATACGTATTGGATCCATAAGAACATCACGTGCCAAACGTTCTATACGCTTTTTAAATGTCGCCGAAAAGAGCAAGGTTTGACGATCCGGACGTACATGGTTACAAATTGATCGCACCTAAAAATAATCAAATATTAGCATTTATAAAATATTCTATATGGAAAACTTACTTGTGGTTCAAAGCCCATATGAAACATACGATCCGCTTCATCGAGTACCAAAAATGTTACCCTACGTAAGTTTGTCGCCTTAATTTTGACCATATCAATCATGCGACCTGGCGTAGCAACAACGATTTCCGCACCCTGTTCAAGTGCTTTACTTTGTTCCCACTTTGAACCACCACCATAACAACAGACCACATTAATGTTGTAGACCTTACCAAATTTCTTTGCTTCATTGTATATTTGCAAAGACAGTTCACGAGTAGGTGCCAAAATAAGTCCAATTGGACCATCACCTTCACGTAACTCTCGCTGATCCATTATATGTACTAACATCGGCCAAATAAACGCGGCGGTTTTACCGGAGCCAGTCTTTGCTATGCCAATAATGTCACGTCCAGACAGTGCAGTTGGTACCGCTTGCGCTTGTATGGGCGTCGGTTGGGTATACTCAGCTTTTCGTACGGCTTTCATTAGACTTTCGTCGAAGCCGAAATGTGCAAATGACGTGACCGGTTTTGGTGGTTCAGCTCCAGTAACTTTGACTCCTAAAGTTTTACGCAAATCACGCACTTTTTCATCATTCAAATTTGCTATTTCTTCATGGGGGGTATAAAAATTTTTTTCAAACGATTCATATTCAATTTCAGAATGATAAATTACTGGCAATGGATCAATATCTTTTTTTCTAGGTGGTGGTATAGGATTACCATCTTCATCATATTCAATTTCGATATCTGAACCATCATCTCGCATACCAAGATTTGGATTCTCCTCAAGATAGCGATAGTAACTTTCTTCGTCATCCTCATCTTCGATATCACCACGTACACCTTTGACGTTTTTAATATCGGTGGAAGGAGCACTAGTATTAGAATTTGTTGACACAGTATCCTTTCTTTTTTTCTCCTTTTCTACTTGTTGTTCGATGCCTGCCATAAACATATCAAGTGTATCATCTTCTGAATCGCTATCTTTATCTTTGTTTTGCGTTTTAGCACCCGGTGAGCCAGGAGCCGGTATGTATGCCATTTCGGGAACTTGCTCGTCATCATCATCAAAATACTCATCCTCGGTATGTGCTTTTCGCTTTCCTAATGCATTTTGTGAGCTTGTAAATTGGCTTATAGATTCTAATGTTGTGTAGCCATGTTTAGAAACACTAGAAGTAGGTGCCGAGCTGTTACCGCTATTTGCACTGCTACTACCTTTTTGATAACCACGTCCGCTTAATGAAGACGGCGGCGGCACGGCATTCATCGAAGCACCACCAGTGCGATTTGGATTTGTTTTATATGGAAATCCGCCACCGCCGATACCACGATAGCCACTCATATTCAATTAAATTAAAATTTTATTTAAATTATTTTGGAAGTATATATTCATCAAGTATTAAAAATAGTTTGAACAAAATCAGGAATACTAACAAATCGATTGACAGCCAAATATTGCGGCACAGAGTTGCATTTATGAAAGATTTGCTCATATAATTGTTATAATACATTCATACTGTCTCATGTAGGCACTTGTTCACGTATATTAATGAATGAAAGTTCTCATCAAAATGAGCTCATTTATATGAAAGCTGTTTCTATAGTACATAAATCCTATTAATCTTATTAGCGATTAATAAGATTTATTATTATATTATTAAACATAAATCTTATTAGCGACGTTAAAGAGCAAATTCACCTAAATAAGACAGTATGTACTAATCCTATCATAAAATTTTTTTTTGTTAATAATGTATTATTTGAAATTATTATATTATTTAATTTAATTCTAAAGAAATAACTTACATGCCATACTCTGAGAATAGTAAACGTAACAAATGTCAAATTAAACTACCAAGGTAAAAATACTTATAAGTATAATTTTGTTTTCTTTTTGTATACTTTAATTTTTTTGTTGCAATATTGTACTACGTTCACACTGGCTCTAAATGTCGCACATGCAAAATACGACTCTTTGTATAACGTTTCTTTTGGTCATAGCCAAACGAAAAAATTGAAGTGATCATTCGTCATTTAACAATCTGTATTACATAGCCGATTATAATACATAAAAAGTATGTACACTGAGCATTCATAAAAATCAGATATGTGGACCCAAAGTTTAACTGGATGGCAATTTCATACGATAATTATGTGAAATTCAATAATCTTAAGCAACTTTTTTTAGTACAATTTATCACGATGTAGATTATTTTGGAGTAATGGAGACTTAAATTGTGAGCCCTTTTTGTATTAATTACACTAACAAAAAAGCTATTCACACTATATTAGTATACGCAATTTTTACATTGATTATACATATGACATGCCTAATGCATTTGCTTGCTCTTGGCAGTTTATATAAAAAATTTGCTACGTCTTAATACCGAATATCTAAAAATATAAGTTACGTTAATGTACAGCGTAGTGTTGTTTAGATTTACTAGATTACTGACTTTACTAAAATCTGTTTCAAGCAAAAAATATATTGATTATTTGCTTGAATATGTTTTTAACTTTTCTCCTTAATATGCTATATATTGCAATAAATGGCATAAATTGTTACTACTTTATAACACTTACAAAGTAAATGTTTGATAAATAACTTAGGGCAACACTGTTACAGAATGTAAGCTTTGAAATCAGCTGTTTATTGTTTTCATTTCCAATAAATTGTTTAAAATTTCTTTTAATTTTATTGTGTATTTGTTACTAATT